TAGTCCCTCTGTCAGATAAAATAGACCACAACATGTTCAACTTGGTTTTAATATGAATTTACCCTTTCGATAATCTGAAGTTACCATTTGGACCCTCCTGATAAAAGTCAATCATGTAAAAATACAGCCATATGTACTGTGACTGAACGACATTTATCTTGCTGGTCACATGTTTTTATATATGATGATTCTGTAGCAACATTATGCAGGTGGATCTTATATCATATTATGTACCAGATGTAACTATATTGCTGTTGCAGGAGGACACCGTACAGTACGAGGAGGACGGATTGTTATTGTTTGATCGCCGGGTAGCACGCCATTTTTTATTAGAGGCCGGCCCGCAGTTTACGTGGATTGTTTATAGCTGCTGATCAATCACTAATATGATTGGATGTTTACAATTAACTTTGAAGAAACCAATGGAGGTTCTTCCACCATTTTTACAATAAAAAGATGCTCAAGATACCAGCACAGAGCATCACAGATTGTTTGAGGCTATGAAAAATAAGGAGGTAAAACTATGAGGCAAAGAGAGATGCTGGAATTTAGGGCACCCCAACACCCGTCGTCATCGGGCTTGGGCACAAACACATGGGGTGGTGCTTCTCCTTTGTTAGCACGAAACATACCGAAAGAGTCGCTTGAACAGAAGTATCTGAGGCTCAACATGATTCGAGTGCGCGACGAGATATTCTCGGCTGAGGATGAGAGCTTCGACAGCTTGCCTAAGACTCCTGTGCATAAACAAGAATGTCCTCCAACGCCGAGCAGAAACAGAAAAGAAAATATAATGAAGCTTTTGTTCACACCAATGAGGAAGAAGAGTACTACTACTACGACGATGACGACGACAAATACTGCTACACTGGGTCGAAATTCGAAGAAGAAGTCGTGGTTTCCTCGAATGGATCCTCAAAAGAGGTGGCCTCAAGGTTGGTGATGATTCCGCCTCAGTCGCGCATGGCAAAGTTGGGAAGAGAAAAATGGAGCGCGGAGGCAAGGCATGTTTATGGTCGGCTGGATTTACTTAAATTATTGTACTTACTAAACAGGTTATTGAATGTGATTTGCATTAAACCTCTATATTTTGGTCCATAGCCGCATAGCTGAGTGAGATCTTACAGTTCCAGTTTATATTTTCTTATTTTTTCAGTGAGGGGGTCACTTGATTGTGTGGTGGATTGCTGAGTAAATGTAAATTGTGATTGTGTAAGGAGACGGCAATTTTCCAGTTAATTTTTGTAGATATCCATATAATCTAATTTAAAGCTCGGTTTTGCTTATGATATCTACTTTGAAAGCAATTTAGAGAACGATTTTAAAAGCTCTTGCCGGAAGTCATTATACAAAGTCCAATCTTCAATAACGTGATATTTTTTTGTTACATTAGAAAGCATCAAATCTGTGACAAATGTAATTTTAACTAGTGTAATTCCAAATCCATTATCCCACATCGATCAAGTCGAGAAGTTTCACACAGTTTATAACATCTTGTTCATCATACAAAGTAAATGGAAAGATAGACCATTTGAAGTAAAATTGAGCTTGAACCTTGAGTTTAAACTTGAGTGTGTGATAGTTAAATATATAAATAATATAAAAATATATCTAACTGTCAAACAATGGCACCAGGCTTGGGCTTTAAAAATTAAATCCATTAATTAATATTTTAATTTTGGAATAATTTTTTTCAGGTTTAAAACTCAATAGTCTCATCATTTCAAATGAAGTTTTAAAATGAGAAATGTTGAAGCCACACATCCTTTTACGTTGAACAGTCACCTCCCAAAATGATACATGTTGTGAATAGGCATATTAGTATTATAAATACATGCATCTGCATATCAACCAAATCACTGAAAATCATCCATCCTTCCATACAAAGCATAGAGAACCACATTGATATTCGCCAGAAATTAAGTTTTCCGGTGCTAGAATTCTAGTTTAGATCGTTGAATCCTAGTAAAGCAGACATCTACAGATCTACAAGCCTAAACCAAGGGTGAATTTCTGTTTTGAGGACATTGCGGTGCGCAAGCCTCAATCTTCATTTTTATCTGTTTAATATTACTTTCGTCAATACAAATTTCTTCCTCCTTATTCTTAGACAAAATTGCACCTACAAAACAAACAACAAAGTCAAGGCCAAGAACCTCACGCACCCACGATGAATAGGGAGGGGGAGATGGCTTTGGCTGAAAAACCTCTTATGCCAAAGTTATAATTTTAAGGGAAAAGTGTTTGGAGAATTTAGAGAATTTAGTAAGAGTGTAGAACTTCGATTTTGGAGAGAACGAGGGTGTTTATATAGGGGTGTGGCCGACCCCTTTGGGAGGAGATGGACCGGCCACTTGGATGGTTTTTTAGGTGAGATTCATGATTTGTTGCTAATTAATAAATTAATTGAATAATAAATCAATTAATTAGCTAATTAATATAATTTGAAGGGAAAGATTTGTAGGTTATCTTGTGGAGAATATTTGATGAGGATGGATGAAATATGTTTTGAATAAATACTTATTTTGGGCACTTTTGACTTGATTGAGGGATGATTGTCCATCACTCATGCGTAGGAGTTTCGGTGTTCCTCGAGAGTAATTTTGTCCTTTTTACCCTAGAATCACGTGTCACCCCTATATTCTCCTTGATTATTTTTGGCTCCACAAATGCCCCCACACCTATTGGGCTGCTCGCTGGAAAAGGCAATAGGTAAAGAGATCTTCATGGTTTAGGAAACATAAAATTGTTTCCTATTTTGATGTACATTCCCTCTTTAATAGGAAATTAGACCCTTCTAGGAAAGGGAAATAAATTTCTCTCAAAGCCTATTTAAGTCCACCTTAAGTGGATTATTAAATCAACTTTGGAGAGTGTTTTATTCTACCCTACAAGAAAGAAAGAGCTTAGAGGATATTTGTATTGGAATAAGTCAATATTTAGAAGAAAAGGAATGTAGATATCTTGTAATCATTAAAGTCATGTTTTAGGAAGAATATTGTGTCCTTTACTTTGTTTCCTTTTGTAACAATGATTGTATGTACTATTTATTCAAAATATGCAATACATGAAAACTAAGCCGTAAAATTCTATTTGGCATCAGAACCTGTGTTGCTGAAACCCTAGTTTTTTCCGCTGTGCTTGGTTGACTGTTTTTCTGCAAATCTTCCGCAGAAAACAGTGTTGTCGTGTGTGTAATCTTGCTGCATGTGCAGCAATGTGGGTGATGCTGTGTTTGGTGGACTATTTTCTGCACATTTTGTCGTGTGTGTGGTATTGATGTGTGTGCAGCAGTGTGGCTGCTGTTTTTTGGTTGACTGGTTCCTGCACTGTTTGTTGCAAAAATTAGTCAAACTGTGTACCCTGTGATTGCAGCACAATATTCTGCTGCTGCCGTGTGTCTTTATTGCAATTGTGTGGGCTGTTTGAGCTCTGTGTGTGTGATAGTGCTGTGTGTGAATAGAAGTATTGATGTGATGAAATATCCCGTGGGTGTGTTGTGCTGCTGTGCTTGCCGATTGACATATTTATGCAACTTCTGCGACAATAAGCCGTGCTGCTTTGTGGAGTGCAATTGTAGAGCCTTGTAGAATATGATTTGTTAGGCAATTGTTGTTGTGCTTAAGAAATTGAAGGAATATTATATTGAAAAGTAGGCCCTGTGTAGGTGCAGTGTGTTAGTGTCGTATATCATATTCTTTCCGTGGGAGTACAAGCCAGATTCTGGCCGTGTATTGGGTTTCTGCTGCTTGTTTTTCTTGTAGTGTGTGGTTCTATAATTGGTGTATTTTTGTGATTGTCGTGTATCAGTGTCTCGTGAGTTATTACAATGGTGAATATAGGTTAGATTTTGGATTCCAGTGCAACCGATCATATGACTTTTGATAAGAATTTATTTACTAGTATGACAACTAGTTCCCGGAAGTGTATTGCAACTGCTAATGGAACAACAACACCAGTTTTGGGGGTTGGCACTGTGAACCTCACGCCAGCCATTCCCTTTCATCACTGCCTGCTTGTTCCCTCGTTGTCTCATAATTTGTTATCTATACCTCAAGTTATTGAGCAATTAGATTGTGTTGTACTTATGTATCCAGTGTTTTGTTTACTTCTATCTATTCAGACCAAGGAGATAATTGGGCGTGGCACTAAGAGAGAGGGGTTATATTATATGGATGACGTCGTTCCTGGCAGAGCTAATGCAGTTCGAGCATCCCGTACCAATAATTTACAGGAAGTTTGATTATTGCATCGTCGGTTAGGACATGCTTCGTTTGGTTATTGCATCGTCGTTCCTGGCAGAGCTAAATGTTGATGTCTTGCATTGTGCATAAATGAGTTTCTTATTGGTATTGGAACTGGTACTATCACAAAAGATGTAGTGAATACCTATTCAGTTGGATGAGAACTAGGCTTTTAAGAGTGTACAAGTTTTGCAGGAAACACTAACTTATCAAACAACACATGTCTTGAAATGATGCACTTCTTTATTCGTAAATTGTAACATATAACCCCTTTGTATCCCATTGCACATCCCAGAAATACACACATGGTAGATCTTGGTTGAAGCTTATGAGCATTATAAGGTCTCAACCATGGAAATACAGCATAACCAAAAATCCTCAAATGTTGTATATCAGGAGCCTTGTTATATAACAACTGATATGGAGATTTGTATGCCAGTGTTTTGCAAGGCATTTTGTTGATTAAAAACACAAAATGAGCACAAGCAAAGTACCAAAACTCAGTTGACAATCCAACAGCATTAAGAATGGTCAAAACAGTTTCAATAATATGTCTATGTTTCCTTTATGCCACTCCATTTTGTTAGGGAGTATAGGGGCATGAAATTAACTGCATAGCACCTTTACTAGCCAGAAATGAAGTGAAACACTTGCTTGTATACTCTCCTACCCCATATGTTTATAAACTCTTGATTGATATCCCAAATTGATGAAGTCAAAGTTGTAAAACTTCACAAATATGGTATACACATCTGATTTATTACTCATGGGAAATATCCACACAAACTTTATATATTCATCCACAAAAGTTACATAGTTTCTATATCCTTCTAAGGACTTTACAGAAGATGAACCCAAATATTAGTGTGTACTTTCTCAAATAGAGACACACACCTATCACTCTTAACTAGAAATGAAATCCTAGACATTTTGCCCTGAATACAAGAACTACAAATAATATATGTATTAGCTGGACTAGATACAATCCCAGATTGTTTTAACATAGAAGACATAATTTCAGTAACAGGGTGTCCTAACCTTTGATGCCAAATGCTAGACTTCACAACCTTGCCCAAGTAAGCTTCTAGAACATTTGAAGTAAACTGTAAACCCCTTGTATGATGCTTTACTGGAATCTGGAATAGTTCTTTAGGTCTACTCTTTCCTTGATACACTATCTCCCTTGTCTTCTTGTCATGCACATAAAACTCAGACTCATCATATAAACCAACTTTTATTGTCAACACATAACTGTTTCATTGAAAGTAAGCTTCTGGCAATGTTGGGAACATGTAGCACTTTATTGAGAACAAGAGAGTGGTTGTTGTGTTTCAATGTAGTAGAACCAATATTTTGAATTGGCAAACTTGAACCATTACCAATAGTGATTTTCTCAGTACCTTCAAATGGAGTGACTTGTGCCAAAGCATTAATATCAGCTGTCGTGTGATAAGATGCACCATAGTCCACTATCTAAGCATCATGTGGTGTAAACTGGGTTGTTTGTTGTGCATTTATGAAAGAGAGAGATGCTGGTGGTGCCTGACCTTGAAAAGCATAGTTGGCTCTATGAAAACAGTCAAGAGCAACATGTCATCTATTTCCACATATTTGACATTCAACAGCAAAAGCAAGAGTATAAGAGTTTGAGTTTCTATGAAAGTAATTTGCAGTAGTATGGCCTTGTTTGTTGCATATCTGGTATTCAATGACAATATTGGACCTTGTGTTAGTGTTACCAAACCATGAACCATTACCATTTTGAATTTGTATTGATGCCCCAGAGTAATATATTGCAGAATTGTCACCAAATTGATAAGATTTGCCTTTATAGCAACCACTGTTGTTTATGTTATTACCATTATTTTTGAAATTGTTCCCATTATATGGTATATACCCTGCACTATGTTATTGAGGCCTAAAATTTTGCTGATTAGAGAGACTAGTTTGGCCAACAAAACCATATCCATAGTAATCTGGGGGTGATGAAAGATAAGGATAAAACACATGAGGCTGTAACTGAGTGAAATTTTGATGTTGAACACTACTTCCATTAACTGTTAATGAAGGAGTGCCATAAGGTACATGAGTAGGTACACCACCAGTTGTTGCAGGTATATGACTATGACCTTGAGAATTAGAAAATGATGTTGCAGTCATTGAAGCTTCACTAGAATAGCTAGAACCTTGCATAAAGAGCTCACAAAATATGTGACAGCAAGTTAACTTCCCCTTCAATTTCTTTTTCTGCACCCAACAGTTGTTCTCTGAATTCTTTAAGAGTAATGGTGGATTCTCTAGCCAGAATCACAGTTCTAATCACAAAATATTCCTTAGGCAACCCAGCAAGACCATCAATCATAATGTCATTATCAAAAATAGATTCCCCAACAGCCATCAATTGATCTCTAATGTTTTTAAGCTTTAACAAATACTTGTCAATAATGTCTATCCCTTTCTGAGTATTGTGTAATTCAGTTTTCAAATGATTAACTCTGGACTTAGACACAGATGCATATCGCAAGATTAAACCATGCTTCACTTGCAGTTCTACATCCAAGGACATACTTCATGGCCTCATTAGTCAAGGTTGCAAGAAGTAAACTCAAAATAGCCATATTTGTGGCTTCCCACTCAGTGTATGCAACAGTGACCTCATTTGTTACTCCTGTTTCAGTACTAATAATAAATCTTGGTGGACAGACATTTGTACAATCAAAAAATTCAAACAACTTATATCCCTTGAGAACAGATTGAAACTGAAATGCCCATTTGGAAAAATTATCATCTCTCAGCTTTATTATCAATGTACCCAACAAATTTTCGGACTTTGAATTGAGAAGCCATGGTAGCAACTCAATGTATATCCAAGGATTACAGAGAATTATAGCAAGAATCACAAATCAACTAAGGAGAATATAACACTCCAGCACAAAAAATTTCCCAATGAAAGAATAACACTTTCTAAATCTTTGCACAGACTCCTGAAATCTTGAAAGATTGACACTTTCTTGAACTATAACTACCCTTGATCTTGAATAATCCAAAACACATCAGTTCATCTAAGAAAGAGTGATACTTTCTTTAGCCAAGAAAGATTGACACTTTCTTGAAACTTCAACAATGTAGCCAGAAATGGCAAGAAACTTCAATAATGTAGCCAGAAATGGCAAGAAACTTCAACATATATCTCAAATTGCAGACTAAACCCACCAATTCACAGTTTGCAAGAAACCAAAAAACTTTAGAACGAATATATGATATATGAATCACCTGATAGCAAACCACAAATACGAACACCCGTTCTTCAAAGAACAATCCCGTCTTCAATCTCCGAAGCCCCAAATTGTAGAAACAAAACAGCAATCGCACATAGAAGTGCCCACAGCTTCAGCAGATCGTCAAAGTAGCGAAAGATCACCAGAATCGATGGCAGCAAGCCAAAGACAACGATGATACCATATTAAATAGAAAGACTAAAAGGAATTCTGGAGAAGTCAGAAAGGGTTGAAGAACATCAATGGTAGACAAGAGATAGAATTGTATTGCTTAGAATTTGAATTATTACACAATGAATGATTTAATGAAGGCTACTATAGCTATATGGATAGCCCTCCATACACTTGTCTGAATTACACTTCTACCCCTCTAACTAGATTGATCAATACTAGTTAACTCACTCAATCATCAAGTGACAAATGACATTTCTGTTATCACTGTTATTACCATGATCACTTCATCGTAACCCTTCAAGACATTTATTTTAAGTCACCATTGCAATTCAAAGATAGTTAAAGATGTATTTTCATTTTTGTTTCTGATCTAAATTTCAGAGAAGAGATGGGAAATTATTCGGTGGAGGTGAGGAAACTGGGGCTGTGTCTTCTGGATCTAATTTGTGAAGGGTTAGGACTCGAAACTGGATTTTTTGACGGTGAACTGAGCCAAGTGCAGTTGATGGCTGCAAATTATTACCCACCATGTCCAGAGCCAAGTTTAACCTTGGGATTACCTAACACAGTGATATTAATCTCATAACTATTCTTCTCCAAGAACAAGTTCATGGCCTTCAAGTTTTGAAAGATGATCAATGGCTGGCTGTTGAGCCTGTCCCCATGATGCATTTGTGGTCAATGTAGGTCACATGTTACAGGTACTTCACCCACATATATATACATATGTTTTTCTTAGAAATCTATACAGCAGGTTCTTTCATTATTAAAAACGGATGGTCTGCCGAAAATGTATATGATAACCTGTTGATGCCTTTTGTTTGAGGACAACGATATATATATATATATATATATATATATATATATATATCAACTTACCATCGTTGGCACATCGATAATATAAATAAATAAAAATGAACACCTAATATTAAGATCGCATGCATATTTCATAGCCATATTATATCTAACCAGACTTATATATATATTCTATTCTTAGTAGGAAGTTTCTTTATTAAAAAAATTAGTGTGCATCAATGCCTCGGAAGGTGCATTAATAATATGTTGATATGCTTTGTTGACAATAATATATATACATACACACACATACTATTAATAACATATCAATAGTCCGTTCTTTAACAAACATCTCCTGCATTTTTGCTATGAACACATATTATCAGTAACGGGAATCTGAGCAGTGTTGACCATAGAGTTGTGACAGACAGCAAGGTTTCAAGGACAACAGTCGCAAGCTTCATACATCCTTCTAGCACCTGCCATATTGAACCTGCAAAAGCACTTGTTAAGGACAGTTGCCCACTCCACCCAGCTTTTATATATAAAGATTTTATTAGCACCTACATACAAGATACTCTTGAGAGAGTACCGCCGCTCGATCGTTATAAGCTCCAACCTTAAAGCAACCAACGTCCATTTGGTCTACCGTCATTTAGTTTCCAATTTGTTGACAGAAGTGAAGTCTTTGGATTGGAATCTAATGGACTGGAGTTTGTTATGTCAACTAAAATCAAAGCTCTCCAAGGCTGAAGTGTGCTGTGGTTACAAATTTTCTGTAACGGATCCTTTAAGCACTTTTTCTGATCTTGCGTCAATGCTAATGTCATATCTATTGTTGGAGCAATATTAGAAAACATGATAAATAACAATATAATTCCAATGATAATAATCATAAAGAAATTCATAATATCAATAGTATACAAAATTCATAAACTAGAGATAAAGTTAGAAAAACCGACAAACTTGGAGATTGAGGCTTGCATAAATGCAATGTCCTAAAGATAGAATTTCGCCCATACTCTTGTGCTTGTAGTTCGATAGGCGTCCATCTCCCAGAATTCAACAATCTATAATCCGAAGTTAAAGCACTTCAATCTTTAGACTCTGGCAAACGTTATATATTCCGTACTCTCAAGACACGACTCGGAATTTGGCACACGAAACATGAGAGAAACAAGGTGGGGAAACACTATTTCTCAAGAGTAAAAATTAACTCTAATTTTTCTATATAATACCAATGGTTTCATGGGTTTATATAGAATCCAACTTCTACTTATTAAAGAGATGTAACTTTTCATCTATAAGTATACATCACTTATCAAGAGAATACACCTAAACAACATAACCTTTCTAAGAAATTGATTAACACTATTTTTCATTCAATTATTAAAATTATATTTTACAATATTTTATACTATAATAGGGTTGCATTTATGCAAGCCTCAATCTTCAAGTTTGTCAGTTTTTTTTTAACTTTATCTCTAGTTGTTTACATGAATTTTGTATACTATTGATGTTGTGATTTTCTTTATGATTTTCAAATTTTCTAATATTGCTCCAACATCTTATGCTTAGTGCATCACAACAGTAGAATCTCAGTTTTTTTTTATAACCAAATTCGTCTTTGAAATTGGCATAACTCTTCACTTTGGTTCCTGTCAATGAAAATCGATAGAAATGGTCCATGAGTTCGTCCAATGTAAATCATTTTGATAATTTCATTAAAACCTATCAGTGTCATCGTTATATAGAAGGTTGGTTTTACAAAAATACTCTTGAAAAGGTGATCACGTGGTCGTTCGTGTGACCACGTAACGAAGATATTGACAAATTTTTCACTGTAAAAACTGAAATAATTTACGGTGGACAAACTCAATGACCACTGTTGTTGATTTTCATTTTTAAAATCAAAGTGAGAAGTTATGTCAATTTTAAGAGCTTTTTTAGCTAAAAAATCTTGATGCAAAGACATATATGCTGTAAAATCTAAATGTAAAGATAAACACTCTTAACCACCTGAAGTACAAGTTGCTTACAAACTTTAGGCCTTAATGAATGACAAATGCCACTAAATCCACCTTATCTTTCAAGTTTCTAAGTGCACAAGTTGGAAAGTTGGATATATCTTTCAAGTCCTAATCTTACCAAAATTTGCTTGTGGTTTGAAGCATTTTGTACCTTCCTTTGGTGAGTGGGAAGTTACTTTTTTAGTACGTAATTACTTATATTTTATTTTACACAAATCGTGTTTGACTGTCCCATATACTAGTATGCTTTAGAATTGCATGATGCCGATATATGCATCTGGTCAATACATCTTTGCTCTTATAATTGGATTTCGAAATATCATTGTCATTTTATTCTTTGAAAGTAACTTTTCCAATATAGGGACTCGATCAAAAATACTTTTAAAATGACTGAAAGTGTTTTTTGGTGAAAAAAATTTTGGATTTCAAAAGTGCTTTTACAAGATCCACTTAAATTTTTACTTAAAATTTGTTTCAAAACTATTTTTACAAAAAGATGATTTCAATCATTTCAAAAACACTTCCAAACGATTCCAATAACTTAAGGTTGGGACTCTACCAATCTTGCTAATTATTTTATTGAATTGTTTTAATGTTCATGTTTATGATCATTGAAATACAGAACAGAACTTCAAAATTTTCAGTAGCAAAAAAAAATATACGCTTTTCAAAGTATGGGGTGTTATGTTCAATAATGAAGAAAAATTATGTCATAACATAATATGATATGTTTCTAAAAAATGACGTGAAGAGAAAATTAAATATATGTTACTATTTTGCATGCTGCTATTCTTTTTTCTTAATCGTTTGGCTTTTAAAAAGTTCAGTTTGATCTATGTAATTATGAATATCCTATTAAAAATATGAAAAATTGATAAATCAAAACGCAAAAATATAAATCGTGATCATCATTGGATTCTCTATCACTTGATTTGTTTGGTCCACAAAGGGTCCACTGGGAGTTTTGCAAATAGAAAAAGATGAACACACATTTCTTTTATCTAGCTGCTCTTGCTTTTTTATTTTTGGAAAATGAAACATTAAATTACGTGGAATATCATGTAATTTATTTATGTAATGGCCACTAGTGTCACACATCCATAATGTAAACATTGAATTCAAATGGATGTTCCACAATCGCCCGTCGATATTGACTTGAGGGGGAGAAGGAAGATCTCAAACTAGTACTCATGACAAGGGAGACTAAGGAGTCACCTTGTTAAGATTACATGTTAGTAAAAAGCTGAGCTACAAGATCTACTTGGGATGATCTTGGTTCCCAACTATGTCGAGTGAGATAAAGAAAGCAATTAAAAGGTCCCTCTTGGAATCTACATATGTATGCAATTTGAAAATTCTAAACACCGCCTCTTCTTTATAATGGCGTGTTTACTTATCAGGGATAAAAAGAGAGAGTAGGAAATCGAGAAACTAAGGAATATGGAATGTAATGAATGAGAATTTGTGAGTATTTGATTACTGATTTTAAGGTGGAATCGACAAATTTTTTTCTCTTAGATTTTATTAAAAAGATGGGAAAGGATTTAGAATGGTCTTCTTTCTTCTGGTACTCATTCATGATAAGATAATGTAATGTCAGTTTCATTATATTATTTGGTTTATAGTCTAATCGAGCAGGTTTTAAGTTTGACTAACACTGTAATATTATTAGAAAATTTATATTAGGATGGTACACAAGCTCTTGGGCACCCTTCCTTATAAGTTGGTCTCTAGTAGCAATGAACACATGAATATGTGGTATCATAGATTGGTTACACCACACAACTATGTCCAAATTTTGGATGATGGTCCGATCTATATGCTGAAGTACGATGACGCATAAATAAAAAGAGAAAAGAATTCGAACTTGACTAAACGTGAATGTAAATACTCTTGACTGTAGAACTACCGAAATCCTATGACATCATAATCTATATGGGATGAGAAAGCAAATAATCATTCTCTTTTGTCTCTTTGTACTCATGATTCTACTCTTTCCTTTCACTATTCTCTATACATGGGAAAATGATATATCCTTTGCATCACTAACTAGAAAAAAAATTTAGTTGTGATTGGAACAAAGGTATTGCATCATATGTTTTTATGTAAATGGTAAAAAAAATTAATTTTTAAGTTATTAACCTTTTAACACACATAATCCACCATTTATATAGTGACACGTGGTATACTATCTCGTGTGACAGTCACATTAAAAAATCTCTCTATTAACTGCGCTTATTCATGCATAAGCTGGCTTAATTAGCTGGTTGACTTGATTATTTC